CTGTAATATTCGCTTAAAAACAAAAAAAATCTTTATGAGAACTTACCGAACTAATTTATCAACAACCACTTCATTATCACTTTATCAGGCTCGGTGCTTAACTTCCGGTATGGCAGTTAGCTCATGAAAAAGCAACAGCTTGTATTCAGAGAGCAGGGACAACAGAAACTTATAACTGTGGTAGAACCAGTCAGCAGTTTCTGTTGCACGAATGGGCAGGTCCGTCCGCAGGTAAGTACCACGACTTCACAGAAGACCGGCGTGAAGTGGAAGTGTTATACAATTCTGGGGGTGGTGAGTGAGGTAGCCGGGGCCCACTTTATTATAAGGCAACGTATCTGCAACCCTACGGGTGTTACAAATGTCCAAGGCGGCGGTTATCACTTAACATCAGGGGAACTGCCTGCTTGCCTGCCACTTTATTACTTAAAAAAAAGATGCTTCATCGATTGTTTTGATTTCTTTTAGACAGTATCTTTTAAAAAATATATATCATGTAGTCGAGTGCCTAATCGCAGCTCGAAAGGGCGAGGGTCGCACTGATTAGCCGCGTGCGAAAGAAAATTAGTTCGCGCAATAAGGGACCGCGTCGTCGCCTTTGCACGGTGTCACTTAGACCTCTCGAAATTGAGTGAATAGGCCCCTAAGCTCACGATACCACGTCGGAACGTAATACTGGATCGAGGTCGATTGTCAACCTATTCTTCGAAGAGAGAAGGGCCCTTTGTATCCCAAATACAACCTATTGTTTCGCGTCAACGATTTTCGTTTGTTCGGTCGACTTTTCGACTTTAGGTTTTGAATACACCCTTATTGGCTTATCTTTGATATAGAATTCTTCTGTATATCCCTGAACTTCTCCTAAACGGCTGGATCGATTTGAATGATTTTTTTTTTGTAAGCGTTTGGGTGGTGGATGGTTTAGATTCACAACTCTTTTTTTTTTTTTTCATTTTTAAGTTGTTATCGGATTTAAGTCGCGTGTACAGGACAACGTCTGCCCGGTCCGCTTATGTTTATATACGAGTGCTAGTATATAGTACAGTTATATTTTTTTTGTTTTGTTATAGAACATTGCCCTTACTTTAGGATAACATTATCTGGTGTTGTTAGGACCTTTTACAAAAATAAATTTCATGTGGACAAACACCCAGATATAAAACAATTGTCTGTGGGTCACACAAATAGTCGTCCCGTGTGGGAATCGAACACACGACCCAACCACATGAGTATTAACAGAAATTTATTAGGCTGCTTCATTTTTCATCCGGACCCAGCGGCATCTGAATTGTCAGCAAATTATTATATGTGTAATATATTAAAAATCAATAACAGTACAATTCCATAAATACCAACTTTTTTTCGTATCAGGGGGCAATCATTAAATAGGGGTTCTAATCTGATCGCCCGTGACCCCAGTCCCTCTTTACTCGCATTTTACGACAACCTGGGGATAGCTTTTATAACTTAATTCGTCTAAAAGCTCGATGTATATACGTAGTTATTATTTTTTTTAATCGCGTTGTAGACTATGCCCTAATACCCTCTGCACAGAGGAGGCCTTTGCCCGGCAGTGGGATTTATAGTCTGTTACTTTTATTTATTTTCAAGGTTATGATGTAGCTAAAAAATTACATTTTACTTTGTTTTTAATTTTATGAAAGATTTTTTAGCGACTCGTACGTAGTTTTATAAAAATAAATGTTTCGCAACACGACACCATCACCGGTTAAACTTCGCGTTATCATGCCCCATATAAATTATCGAGCTCTATCTCTATTTGGGGCCGTAGGTAACTAAACTCCGCAACAGAGGAGGCCCGAAGGCTCGTCCTATTTGCATTACAAAGAGGTCGCTTGAAAATTAACTACACGCATCGGCCCTTTGACGCGTACAGTCGCGCACAAAGCTCACGCAGCAATATCAACTGAAGCTGCACTATTTACATTTATGAGGAAAACAATACGGTAAAATTCTTGTGTCGACTATTAACAAGTCGATAAGGTATAAATACTATCATCCTATGTTCATGATAAAGATTTTGTCATTACACTTATGAGTCCATGGAACGAAGAACAATATCTCAATTTGGCAAATGTCATATTTAGTATAACACATGAATTACTAGAGTTACATTTACAGTATTAACAAGTACTGTCATTTCACTGATGTGTGATATGTGTGGTCGGCCCCAAAGTAGTTTTTAAACCTAAACAGGTATTGCTGACGCTATACTCTACAAATAGAAGAAATAGACGCGTTATTCTACAATTGACTTTTCCTTAGTAATTATATCAAAAATACAAACAGTAAACATATATTAGCATCATCAAGAAATCGAAGCGAGGTTCTTTCATTTGAAATTTCTTTCACATGAAATTAGTTTTAATAAAAATCTATGATATTTCCAGACTATGATTCTGTTCTACGCGAAACGTTTGAATGATCGAAATTATAAATATTACAAAATATTTATGCTTATAAAACTTCATCCCATTTCGCTGATGGTATGCCGTATGTATGTACATAAATTAAACGAAACGACTCATTTGTGTGTGAATTATGGCATTTGAGAATTATATCCGCGTATATTATCTACAACTTGTTTTACAACTGGGGTTGACTGCGCCAACTATGATATTTACGGACGTTAATCAAGCGCGAAATGGCCTATATATTATTAAGGGACCCGTCGCGAAGTTTCCGCTCCCTGTACCTCTACCCTGCTGTTGGAAGGGGTGTTACTTAGTTATCTCGGAGGTCGACGGATTACATTAGAGAGATGAAAGGTGTTTTTACAGGCATGAATTTTAAATTGCATTTGTACGCCGCCTCACCACCCGCGCCGCGCAGTTTGTTTCGCCGTAAACAGTTTTTGTTTGAAGCCCGCTTTTTTATATAGGGCTCATATTTCCCTTATCCGTTACGACCGCGTCTTAGCCAAGGAGAATGTAAAGCGAGGTCCATGAGGTCAAATTTAACCGTCGTCGGCGTCGACATGGTGAAATAAAATTATGGCAGAAACAATAGAAAGGAATGAGAGTTTAAACACATACATTTTATGTCTGTGGTCTGTCCTGTGACCATGAACGCTGTAAAGGGTTCGAAACGTCGGGAATTAAAATTAAAAATAAACGCGATAAATCCGTATAATTAGTTTCATTTATAATGTGTAATCGCGTAAATACAAGAAAACATACATCTTTATATACATAATTCTTCTGTGCGTGTATATGTATGTCTTTGGACTCCTAAACAGCTGGACCGATATTTATGAAAATTTTTGTGTGTTCACGTGGATTCGAGAATAGTTTAGATTGACATACCTACTTATTCAAAAAATTTAGAAATTATCGGTATAAAGACATGTGTACAGGACAACGTCTGTTGGGTCCGCTAGTATATTTATACTTGTTTGTGATTCAAATGTTGTGCCATCGGACAGCTAAGGCGCATAGATCAAAGGCCTGCACGCACATGTCTAGAAAAATATTAAGGTTTAATATTTTTACTTTCTGCGAACTAAATTTATCTTTGCTTTCACTAACAGAATAAAAATTACAAGTACTAGTAGTTAATTGGTCAAAGTTTTCAAATATTCAACTCTCAAACAACACATTTTTCGTGTGCATTGCGCTTTTGTTGGATATGAAAACTTTTTGGTGAACAACAAATAATTTGAAATGCGAACTTGTAACTTTTAAATCCTTATATAATTAGGAAAAGAGGAGACTGTAATTCTAAGCAGTGACAATGCAGCTGTGCTTAGGGTGAAATAGGCGGCGGTTTGCTTCTTAAGCTTGATTAAGGAATATAAGACTAGTAAAGGCGGAGTCTGCTACAAAACTTTATAGACCTGGCGGACTGGACGATACTGAAAATGCTCGGTAATGTGCCACTGTTTAGATGTTTGAACCTACCAAATAATAGGTTTTGCAGTTCTGTTTTACTAGGTTTTAAAATACTAGTTTTGGCGCGTTAGTGAAAAAATTGAGAGTGATACGATACGCACGCACAACGACATGAAATCAACACCTTGTAATGTTTGACACGTTACTAAAAGGGAAATTAATGTGAGAGGGTATTATAAGAGGAAATGGAAGACTGGTGCGAATCAAAAGGGCCATCGCACCTATCGAAGAGTAGAAATAAAGAGTTGATGAGAATACTGCCCTTTACTACAATCACGCAGTGTATAAGCTCGTGGAATATCAAACAATTTGGGCATTTAAGAGACCTGAAAATTTTAAAGGTCCGTTTTAAAAATCATCATCAAGATCATCATTTCAGTCTGTTTGAGTCCACTGCTGAACATAGGCCTCCCCCACAGACTGTCTCGAAGCATGATCCTGAGCCAACTGCATCCATCGACTTCCCGTACACTTGCACAAGTTGTCACTCCATTTAATGGGGGTTCTACACTGCGATGGCCAGTACGAGGCTGTCACTCGAGAACTTTTCTTCCCCAACGGTTTTCGGTTATTGTTTTTACAATATATACAATACTAGCTGCTGCCCGCGACTACGTCTTCGTAGAATAGTTTGAAGGCGTAACATTTAGACAGAAAGAGAGATATACATATAATATGTATATAAATTATAGCCTATGTCTTATTCTGATGTATAGCTATATTATTGTAAAGTTTCATTAAAATCCATTCAGTAGTATTTGCGTGAAAGAGTAACAAACATCCATCCATACATACAAACTTTCGCGTTTATAATATTAGTAAGGATGTAATATTGTATTGTAAAAAAGTAGCGACACGAAAGCGCAGAACCAGGTTAATTTCACATATCTCGTTCCTGGGTGTATTATTCCACTATATAATAGTCCTTTTGGATTGAATTTGGTGTTCATTACGCCCCCAACATTAAGATCCGCTCACTTGTCGAAGGGCTCTTGAGTGATACGTACTTCATGTAATACGGGCGTCGTTTTCCCGCGGAGATACGCATCGGAAATCGACTCGCACGCCGTAGAGAACCGTCCGCAGTACATGTACACGCGGATCGCGGATTACTCCGAAGCCTCATCCGCCTACTCTCAAGCTGGCTGGGCGCCAAGGTCGATGAACCCGCGTGGAGAACGTGCACCTCTACGCTGTGTCACCCTCCGCCACAGTGCACGTGCGCCCGCGCGGACTGCGATCGAATATCGAACTTATGCCCAATACGCTTACGATTCAGTTTCGCGGTCACGACGCGGCTCGCTCGCAAATAAAGGGATGCGACCCAAACAAACCCATAGAAGCTGCCGAACTGAACCGCCGGCATCAAATGGTCTGCGTCTTCTCTCTGTATTGTTTCAATCCGTGGCGAATAGGACGAAATTCGTCTACAACACGTGTCACGTTAAACTGGCTGTGCAGCGACGGTTTAGATTTTTAAATATGGCTTTTAACCCCCGAGTTAGAACGAATGCTTGTTTACCCTTCACCCGCAAAAAACAGTTGCCGTGATTTATTTCAGTGATTGTTTTCGTATTAGTGCATCTAAATTTAATATTAGGCCTGTTGTAATATAATGATGACGTTATGTTAATTAGCAATTTTTTACACAACATTGCCCTTACTTTAGGATAACATTATGCTGTGTTGTAAGCACGTTTCACAAACATAAATTTCACGCGGACAAATACCCATATGCGAAACAACTAATTGTGGGTCACACAAATAGTTGTCCCGTGTGGGAATCGAACCACCGACGCCGAAGCCAATACCTTGGCAATTTCGCCACTGAGTCTTAGAATTCGCCGTCAAGCATTTCACCGTCTTTCTTTAAAATACTAAACGTCTTCTTTATGCATGCATTAAATGCGAAGGTGCACTAATTCGAAAACAATTATTTTATCCCGGAATGCGAATCGAACAGCAGGGAGTTTTCAAGATGTCACTTAAGTCGGTATCAATTGCGTACTAAACTCCAGTATCCTATCTCGAGCGAGATAGGATACTGGAGCTGCCTACAATTAGCCAACTGATGAAAACACAAAAACCTACGCCCGGTTTCTGAAACACTAATCATCGTAGAACTTAACTAATCAGCTGTCAATTGAGTTATCAAATTTGAGTTACCAAAAGATTGTTTAAACTCTTTGAATTGATCATACTGATCATTAAGATCAACCTGTAGGAATTGTTTGCAACTTCCACATGGCATGTTGCTTCTTTATCTCCTAATGATAATAATTACGGGGAAATACCGTATCTTAACGCAACGCACGAATAAACAGGCAAATAGGCAACGCGCATACAATATTTATAGGGCGTTTGGCGTTTGGAAACCGGGCTCCTGAACCGTGCGGCTCCTTCACACGATCTTCAACCATATTACCTGGCAATAAAGACTTAAGTACGTGCAGGATAACATCCCGTGTTCAGCGAAGCTTCGAGGCAACCGAAGACTGTCGCATAGACAAGCTTGCCGCGGACGCAGTGAACATGATTTATGTCGCCTCGATTGCTTATCGAGTGCCGTTCGTGTTTCGTAATAAAGGACGTGTTGAATAGCCATTTTTTTGGTCCATCGGTACGCGTTGTTTTGATTTATAACGGTTTTGTGATACTTCTTTAAAAAATACTCTGTCCCTACCGTCGAGAAGTCGGTGTTATCGGATATTTTTTTACATTTAACAGCACCACTCAGTTAAACCGTAATTAAACCGCTTCTAAATTTTACATACTAACAGTTTTTTAAAGCGGTTAAATTACATTGAAATGTTCTGTAACGGCTAATGTTCAATTTAAAATGCCATGCTTGCTTCGAACTGATTCACGATTTCCGACGAAACTAAATTTGCGCAATTGCGAAAACTTACTCCCATGTTTGAATGCATTTCATTCAAGCTACGGTTCAAACTTCAGTACCCACCTCGAGTTCGGGCGAGACTATTAGTTATGCTGACGTGTACTACAACAAAATGTAGTTTTCCTAAATGACATACATAGTACATACACAATTAATATATGATATTATTTATAACATATACTATTTACATATATTTTAGATGCTTTACTGAAATGAGAAGACAACAAACCTTTTTGTTGCCTAAATTTCGTAACATATGACCTCGATCGTATGAGTAGTCAAGCTATTCGCAGTGTATTGTTCTCGGCATTCAAAATTCACATTCGAATATTGAAAAAAAGCAGTCAATATTTTCGAACGGCATTTCGAATTTCGAATCGGATGCGATCGGGCGCCGGTGCAGCGGAGGATCCGGCGGACAATACGGGCGCGGCGTATTTTAATTTCCGCCGGAGCGCGTCGCATAAATCCGCACGGCGATAAACCGAGAATCGCATCCCGTTCGTCGCTTTCACCCGCGTAACTCCGGCGGCTTTACGGCCGACTCCTAATCTGATGCGTTGTCCGTGCAACTTATGGATACGCGCTGAACTTTCGCGGCTAACTGTGCTCGGTGCGGATAATCCGCCGCGAGCCGATACGCGGCACTTAGTTGCACGCGACGCGCCTACGTACTCCGATTTCGACATTGTACTAAGGCTTAATATATACGCATGTTTATCTTTATTGAATGTTCAACTTAAGTGTCACGATAACTTTTGTTTGGTGACGTTGGTTATGGTTTCGTAAGTGAACGGTAAGTGCTTGCTTTACGCGTATTTGTATAGAAGTTCCGTTTATTTCACACTCATATATTAACATTTGTAGAATCTTAATACTTAATACTTTTTATTATTCAGGGTTTTTGTCTCGTTAACGCTATATTCTTTTATATTTTTACCATTGTTTGATTCTCGTCCGTATGGTGAGTTTATCCAAACACTTTGGTCTTTTTTGTTTTGGCTCTAAACCCCTTACGCTATTCCACGTTTTTGCATACATCCGTGGCTTCACCCAGGTGCCTTAGCTGTCCCTTCAATGGCAGAAATCCCTCTGGTGTAGATAAGGCACGCTTGAATAATTAAGAAACGCTACTCTTCACTCAAGACCTATTTCTCGTGCAGAGGGCTTTCCCGAATCCGCTGCCAGAGGTCATGATAGCCATGATTCCAGATGGACCTGGTCTGGGTCGTCACTACGTTCTGGTCTCGGTAGTACAAAAAGCGCATTCCAGTACCGAAACTCATGGCTCGTGGTCTCACCTACCCCGCTTCGACTGTGCAGTTCTTCCGAGTCATGGATGGCAGGAAAGTGGGTATCTATCGTCTACCGCGTCCTCCGAATGCATATCCAAATGTGAACTCAAAATGGTCACTGAGAGTGACACCCTTGGAGCTGCCTTGCACTAGTGGAAGACGGAGCTAAGACTGCTAAGCCCCTTAGTCATGACAAATCTGAATCCCGTTTTTTCTTATGAAAAGTTGGGCAACGAACGGGCGTTTCGCCTGATGTTAAGTAATTACCGCCACCCGTGGACATCTTGACGGGTTCCAAGTGCGGTGCCAATCGATAAAATAGTAGTCCCGGCTAGGTAGACGAACTTTTTTAATCGAACTTTTCTAACGTATTTTATAAAGTGACATCGCATCTGCAACCCTACGGGTGACGCTAATGTCCTTGGGCGGCGGTTATCACTTAACATCAGGTGAACCGTCAGCTCGCTTGCCACCTTCTCACATAGAAAAGTAATAGTTTAAGTAATTATTATTATATTGACTTACGTATGAGCTCTGTCGAATCTCTAATGCGACAATCGATGGAACAAAGAAAGTCGTTGTGACGACGGAGCAGCAACAAAACACTCCGTAACACGAATGCCACGCAGATTAAACTTTTGAAAGTAAACAAAACGTAACTAGCAAAATGTAATGTGATGTAAATCGCGTAATTTGGGATGAGAGGGTGCGACGCTGGCGTTTTACTATTCGACCCTTTGTTCGTTGTATACGAGGCTTTCAGTTGTGCTCTACGTGGAAGAAGTTAAATACTTCATAATTAAAATATATAGATACATGAAGGAAAACATAGTTACAGACGTGTGAAAATAAAACCGCTCGGTATTCTAAGATAAGTATATCTTTATATATCTATATCGGACTATATCCGCCAATGTTGATTTTAACTGTTCGTAAGCAAAGGTAAACACAAATAATGACAAAAAACACAAGAATAACGCACACTAATACCACAAATATGATTATTTCATACTATTTCTTTTTATTTTTGTGAGAAGATGGCATGCGAGTTGGTGGTTTACCTAATGTTAAATGACAACCGCCGCCCATTGACATTTGTCACACCCGTAGGTCCCGCCGGATAACACTACACCCACAGTTAGTGCAACAACAAACACACTAGTTCGCCCTCGCCTCCGAGCACGGCGAGACCAACACAACGCGTACACAAGGTACACCCGCGATCCGGGGCGGTTCTCACCGCTCCCAGCCACCGATTAGCTGATTGCACAGTCGACGGCCATCGGGGTTTCGGTCCGAACCGCGACCTCGATGGCCCTTAGATGACACACCATAGTTAAATGCACGCATGAGCACATGCGCGGCCCTACCCACAGCGGAGGGCCCAAACCCGTGGGTTCTGTCTAGCCCACCGGTTCCGGTTTGGTTCTACATCAGATGAAGCTTTAATAGTCTCGGGACTGAAAGCAAGAACATCAGTTAATACAAGATACAAGACAACACCCGTAGGGTTGCAGATACGTTGCCATCTTTTAATAATGAAGGCCTCGGCTACCTCACTCACCGGACGAAACGCAGAAGTGTAACACTTCCACTTCACGCCGGTATTCTGTGAGGTCGCGGAATTTACCTAGAAGGACCTGGCCATTCATGTAATAGACAAGACTGTTGCCGGGCCCTACCACAGTAATTTATCTTTTAATTTATATTATATCTTTTTATTATAGCTTTTCGCCCGCGGCTACGCTCGTGTTGAAGCCCTTAAATAATTACCTTTCTTTGACCTTTCAACCCTTTATAACACTTTTTTCCGATAAAAAAAATAGCCTATGTCCTTTCTCAGGCTCTAGACTATCTAAGTTCCAAATTTCATTTAAATCGGTGCAGTAGTTTTGGCGTGAAAGGCGAGACAGAAAGACGGAGTTACTTTCGCATTCATAATGTTAAGTATGGATTATTTATTTATTAATTTATGTATGTAAAACGTCCTTTACACACAGGAGAGTACACAATCGAGTTTTAGTACAAATATCGAGTTTTGATTCAGTTAGCCTCTACCAGTCCGCCATACGCCGATCCACGCCGTCGCGTCGATACGTCGACTTCGTAAAGTTCGCGGACAATAAACCATTTCTGGCATTCGATTAAGCGCGAATCCGAAACCGGCGCCCGGTTAAGATTTACAGCCCCGATGCTGTGCGCGACAGGTGACAAGTGGAGGTGCAACGTTTCCCTGATGCGAACAAAGCGGCACTGTGCCGAGCGACGTCGAGCTTGTCGCTCTAAACGTTCTGTGTCGCACGCTGACAGGGTCACCATGATTCGGAGTCATCGTTAATCTGTTGGTTTACTTCTAGGTGCGTTTCCAACTTAAAACTGTAATTAATATTATTTGTGGAACAAGGTGATGCATGATAGTTTTGTACGTCTCAACTGTAAGAAGCATCCATTGCTGGTAACGGAGCATCCCTTGACATATATTCTTACAGTAATCAATGCCATTGAGTTTGACCCACTGGACTGACCTGCCAGACCTTTCACATAAAAAAGTTCGAAATGAACAAATCTACAATGATTTGCTTCGGATCTAGGTGGGACCAATTAGTCTAATGGTGATTTAGTGTGAGGTGAATTAGTCTAGTGGTCAATTAGTGTTAAACACGTCACATTCTAAAAGTTTTGATCTTTGAATTTGAACCTGCGTCTACTTAGTTAAAGGCTTATCTTCGCACCGACAAAAATATCCACGTCTTTTAGATCATGGCCGCGAACTTTGTTTTGTTTATTACATTCTTAAGCAATGTTTGGAGTCATATTATCATTTGTATCTTTATATTTTCATTTAACATTTTACAAGGAAATATTGAAAATAAGATAAATGTCGTCCGTGCCCGCTGAGCGAAATGTACGATTTAGCTTGCTATGCTCTAATTATAACCTTGAACGTTAACTATCGAATTGTTCAATAAACAACATACGCATGGCTGATCATGGTCGCGACCTCTTTTCTTTTCATCGTTATAATCCGTAATGACCTGGCGAGAAATTCCATTCAGACGCAAGAGACTTTTGGGTTTGCTCATTGTCACCTCGGACAGGTGCAGGCGCGGGCATCGGGTAATCGACTCCATCAGGCATCATCTTGATGGGCGCACTGCCCCCCTGGAAATGTTCCCGTGGAAATATTCCCTTGGATCCATCAGACAGTATGGTGGTGAAATTAAATTAAAACCTCACCCTATAGACCTGTCCGTCCTATGTAAGCTCGGTCGGTTCGTGGTGCGCCTACACGCGGGAGGCGGTCTACGGGGCGAGCCGATGGTGATTAATGACGGTGACCTCGCGCCCACCTCCGTCGCTGCCGGAGTACGTCTCGACTGCCACATGCCGCGCCGAGCAAGCTCCTAGTTGCAGAACGACATTGTTCATTCGGCTGCAACAGCCCAATAGTTTTCCTGATACAATGGTTTATGCATCAAAAATTGATTGTGACCCGCGCCGGTGCACCGGTGCAATGCTGATACTGAACATACTCTACTATAAGGGAGGTTTATATGTATAATACATGCATAACATGTATTATACATATGAACCTCCCCCCTGAATCACTCTATGTAGTAAAAAAACCGTATCAAGATCCGTTGCGCAGTTTAAAAGACCTAAGCATTTAAATTCGCATTGTTCAAATATTAAAATTGTTTACTTTACAGTAACATGGACAAAAAAATAACTGATACATATTTTATTTTAGAACGCAAAACTAAAATCAGGGCAATATCACTATTTTACTAAATAAAAAATTACAACAAAGTTTTAAAAATAAGGGACACATTAATCACTTATTTTAAAATTCTTAGGTACTTTTGTTAAACTAAAATTGGATAGGATTAGAAATTTAATAAACATATTACATTTCAGACACAAAAACTCGACAGCGTCGCTACTTGCGTGGCCTTCCACCAGATGACAAAAAGCAGCATACTTTCCGCCGTTTTCCTAACATCGACAAAGCCCCGTGATCCATTGTATGTATTGAAACGGAACACGATTCATAGCGATTCAATATAGGGCTTTTTGTCATTTTGTACGTTATAGCAGGACGTGCGTATATTGTTTTGGGAGTGGCGTCGTAATACTCCATTAGTTTCGTCGGCAACACATTTGTATAGTTAATCGAACATTAAAATATGGTTTTTACACATTTTATATATCACCCTTGTAACGTTTCTTTATAGGATGGTATTGATGGTATTGTACTAACTTAGTAACAGAAATACTTAAACAAAAAACCCCAAATTAACGCCCGGTTAAACATTTTTGGACACTATTATACAGGGTGATTTTATAGACGACGAACATATTAACAGAGCATATGCCGAATTTGATTCTAAATCTTAATCTGGTACGTACTTGTAACCTCATTTTTTTTCAAAGAATTTTTTTAATTTTTGAAAACATTATGGACACCTTAAATTCCTGCCTTACCGTCTCAATACAATAACCTTTTGACGAGCATTCAAACTTTTCGCGGAACGCATAATTACTAAACCGCTTATCAATAGGGTGGCCACTCTTAACGGGATAAACAAACAATGTTTGAATTGATATTTTTCTGGTTATTTCTTGTCAAAATAAAATATAAATATTTTTTTTTGTGTAAAAATACTATTAATATATACTATAATAAAATAAAATAAATATACTTCGTCTAAAAATCACCCTGTGCCGTATTCTAGTATATCTAGAAGTTGGAAAAGCTAATACACTATTTCATAAAAGCATTAAAATATTTTGGAATACTTTTGCTTGATTGGTAGTGGCGAATTAATCGTGGTTCGTGGAACATTCCGATATTAGGATTGACTTAGAAATAACTTGCAGAGATATTGCAAAGATGTTTCGCAATGGCAACATCAAAATGGAGGTAGGTACGTCTTTTTAGTTTAAAACTTGAGTAACTTTCTCGATCTTGGGAATAATAGCAAATTTTAATCGCAATGGGATAAATGGTATTGGGTATGCGGGACTAATGTAGAAACATTTACTTTTATATGCTCAAATATAAAAGCTCCTTGATACGTTTGCATTTGAATTGAACATTATTTATTGATTTGTAGCTTTATCTTTTTCTTATGGTTTTAGTTGCTTCTAAATTATAATTTGTTCACTAAGAGCTGAATAATTTAATCTGTGAATAGGATGACCGAAAGAAGTTTCTTTTTTTCAGTTTAGGCGGCACATATACTTCCTTGGGCTAGTAATTTCCACTTATGCGTAGAAGTAAATATAAACCGCAACACTTTCCACAGTCAAACATACAAAACTTGACTGTTAATAAGACTTTGCTGCGTAGATTTCTTAACGGCTTACATTGAATCGGCCGCGAAAACAGTGATTTGTGAACGACAAATCATCGCGATTGACAGCTACGCGTTTTCGCGTCATGAAAATCAAGATGGCTGCCATGCCGGCGTTATCTGTGACACTGACATGCGTTAACGTCGTAACAATATCTCTACATTATTACGGTCGGTCCGAGTGAATTTACGTAGTGTGTGTCACTTGAAAATTGGCGATGTATGGCGGCGTATATTGAATGCAACATTGTTGTATAGCAAAATATGTAAAATTTTATTGGGTGAACTTTTAAACAGTAACAGGTATGCATATTAGAACTTATTATATAATTAAAGTTGATTCTTAGGCTAAGGTACATCGATAAAATTGAGGACAATGAGAGTGGACTTCGTAATTATTTGACGGTGGTAAGGCCACGCAGCAACTTCGGCTGTAGCACGAATGGGCAGGTTCGTCCGGGTAAGTACCACGACCTCACAGAAGACTGGCGTAAAGTGGAAGTATAATACTTTCGCGTTTCGTCTGGTGAGTGAGGCGGCCCGAGCCCAATTTTCAAAAGGTTGTCAACGCATCTGAAACCTCCGGGTGCAGCAGATATCCATGGGCGGCGGTATTCACTTAACATCCGTCTGCTCGTTTGGCAACTTTCCACACAAAAAAATAATAATAATAATTAGAACTCATAATCGTGTGTAAATCCAGTGCCTTCACGCATAGAAACATGCAAATATTGTATGTATTTTTGCCATTCTAGAATGATAATTTTCATTGTATCCACCCCAACCGACAATATAAACAACACTCAATGTATTATATACAAAAAAATATTAAAAAAAAACACTGCTTTTCAAACACACGTAACATATGTCTACATACTCGTGTAAGTTATCCGGCGCTGTCAGAATACACAAAACGCGCGGAAACAACAAGATATGTACTTTGACGGCGACAGTTGTTATGACGGATGGTATTCCAAAATGTGCTTTTATTTTTCCGCGTTTTCTGTACACGTATTTTTTGCATTTGGCCCCGTCGTCGTACGCTTACGGCCTGTAAGATTACGTTTCGGAACGTGACGGAGAGGCGAAGAGCGCGGAACAATGGGATATGTGTGTGCCAGTTTATGTGTTTACATCCGCAACGAGATTAATACAGTGTATATACATAATAAGGAAGCACAAAGATAACCGACATAGCTCAGAGGTTAGTAAGCTGAAATGGCGACGGGCCGGCCATATAGCTCGTAGAACCGATTACCACTGGGGAAGAAAGGTTCTCGAGTGGCAGCCTTAAACTGGCCATAGCAGTGTGGGACGAACCCCACTAGATGGAGTGACGACCTGTGCGAGTGTGCGGGAACTCGATGGATGCGGGTGGCTCAGGATCGTGCTTCGTGGCAGTCAGCAGTTCAGCAGTGGACCCAAACAGGCTGAAATGATGATGATGATCATAAACATAATATCATTAATTGGAAAGACTCAACATTACACGCAACAGTCTTCTTTGTTGCACGAATGGGCTGGTCCGTCCGGGTAAGTACCACGACCTCACCGGCGTGAAGTAGATTTGTTATACTTCTGCTTTTTGTCTAGTGAGTCAGGTAGCCGGGGACCACTTTATTAAAAGGCGGCAACGCATCTGCAACCCTACGGGTGTTGCAAATGTCGATGGTCGCCGTTTATCACTTAACATCAGGTGAATCTCCAGCTCGCTTGCCACCGTCTCTCATAAAATTTGAACCCGACTCGTATGAACCCTTCGTGTGGGCATATCACAGTGAACACACTAACGGAACACTATCTATGGCATTGTTTAATTGGATATTTTTACGTGAAAAGTTGCCAAGCGAGCAGACGGTTCACCTGATGTTAAGTGAATACCGCCGCCCATGGACATCTGCTACACCTTTTGAAAATTCGGCTCCGGCCACCTCACTCACCAAACGAAACGCGAAAGCATTAAGTTATTATACTTCCACTTTACGCCGGTCTTCTGTGAGGTCGTGGTACTTACCCGGACGATCCTGCCCATTCGTGCAACAGCCGAGGCTGCTGCGTGGCCCTACCAATACCGTAAAATGGATTTTTTCAGTTCATGAAGTCAACGAAGCATCCATTTAATAAGATTGTCAAAGGTTGTCTGTCGTATTTACCAAAAGTACGTATAGGCGTTTATTTTCCAATTATCTCAACCGGTCTTTTGGCGAAACCGATATCAATTCAGCTCATTATGCCCCACGTGCGGCCACCACGTCACCTTATTGGGGTTCGCGTAAATTATGAAAAACGCAAATCTGATTTATAGACGCCAGTTTAATGAATGCCTCTGTAAAGTGTGCAATCATGCCTTTTGTATTTGCAGTGATAAAATCGCTCCGCTGTTACGTCAAAATGAGGTTTTTTTTTCTGTTAAGAAAATAATCGACTGGTTTCGTCGGGCTTGGCTTTACTTCTGTTATTTCCTTACATAACTCTTTATTGCTCAACGACTCTCGATAATGTCCAGTTGTTTGCGATAGCCATAAGCGATGTTTAATTGCATCGCTGTGTGGCATCTTGTGGTATCCAATCAGCCAGTTGGCAAGAAACAGCCCCGGAACAGAGAGCAGTCGCGTATTTTCGTGTTGGAGGCCACGAACCTCTTTGGGTCGCTGGGCCAGGCAAGTAAGTAAGTAAATGGTATCTTAAGTCGATTTAGTCCATGCCACAGAATTTTCCACCTTACTCCTGGACGAATCGATGTGTCGCGGCTGTTTCCACAAACAGAATTCAGCCCAGTGTCCGAAACTCTATGTAGTCTACGTATTGAAAGCGCATGCTTCATTCTATACTCACGCCCTTAGAACTGTTAAGACATTTATAATGATGGTACGAGAAGAATGGAGCATCCATCGTTGGGAGATCCTCGACGTTTAGCCATCAATAGCTAACTTATTGTGATAGTATAGGTGCAGTCAGAAAACAATCTGGACTATTCTTTACGAGATTGGCAAGATGAAGCATGTTAATATGTATGTTAATATAGGTACAATATGACGGTAATACATT